CCCCTCCATTCAGTCTCTGTCACTTTTCATCTGCCCCATCTTTCCCAGTGAGCACACTTAAGCCATCCTGAACATCCAGATGGGCTGGCCCCTGGTCTCTGCTGTTAACTCATCTCAAGGTCTGGCAGGACACAGCCTCTGTCCACCTGTACCTGGCTTTATCCTATGGCCTCAGCTAGGTCTAAGACTCTCTCTGCTACTGTTACAGACTTAAACCTGACCACAAAGAAGAGCCTCTAGTACGTACAGCTCCATCATGGAGGCACAGGCAGGGAGGGGTGGGCAAAATGAGAGGAGGGAATGATCCCCAACTGACTCACTGGCACCCTCATTCCATCTCTTCCTCCTCTGACCCTGGTGATGCATACTCTAACAGAGCCATCTTCCCTGCCACCCCACCCCTCCCCGACCCCTTCTTGGTCTCAACCCAGAAATGCCTTGTAGTGTGTGGTAGGCTTCACTCTCTTCGGGGGACATCTGCCAACCAGCACAGTGGTGATGACAGTTTCCAGATGATTTTCCAAAAGCAAAGAAATCCTCTAGGGGAGGCGAGGGTGGCACAGACCCAAGGCTGAGTGGGCTGAGCATTGTGGTTCCGGAAGAGGCCCAGGAAGGTGGGGTTTCTGGAGACTCCGAGATTGCCTTTCTCTTTAGATTTTGCCAAGAGCAAAAGCCCTTGATGGCTTTGTATTTTCCTAGTATTTGAGAGGATCCCTCCATTCAAACTCTTCTGTGGGAACTTGGGTCTGATTTGGGACCCATGGTTGACATCAGTAGGGATTTTTGAGCTGAGCTGTCTTCTCTCAATCAACCTACCAGGCTCAGTGTGGGGTCAACAGACAGACGTGAAGTCGGGTTCTCCTGGTCCATTTTTTCTGTCCTTGTTTTTCTGTATTCTAAGCTCACTTCTGCTTGAGGCATTTTGATTTTTAGGTAAACCCAGAGGTGGGAGGGAGGTTGCCTGAGAGTCTTAGGAATGAGCCCAGGGAAAGGTTAGTTTCTCTTATGATTCTTATAAATCCTGGGTTATTGTATTGACTTATCCTTTGTTGTTGGTAGGGAGACTTCCTTCCAGTACTTTTTTAACACTTGTGCTGGGAGTGAAGGGGGGAGTGTCTCTCCCAGATAAAAGCTGCCCTTACCTACTCCTGTCTTGGGAAAAATATGAGCTGTTTCCAGACTATGGAGTAAATTGCTAACAAAGGTTACCATGTTCTTCGTCTCAGAGGTAGTCAGACTTTGATGAGGGTATTGACTGGAGTTCAACTGTTTAACCCAACTGGGAGATGTGAAGAATCCCTAGTCATAGATATTTGCCCAACGTTTCTGTCCTTATCACATTTTGTCTGGGTACTGTGTGGACGTTTGTCCTTTGAGTGCACGTGTGTGTATGTGTGTGTGTGTGTGTGTGTGTGTGTGTGTGTCTGTCTGTCTGTCTGTCTGTGTTCATCACCAAACAATGACCTCCCTTAGGACAAGTATATGGTGTTGTTTTCCCTGTGTCGCTAATACGCCAAATCGACTGATGAACAAATGTTCATTGAGAGAATTAATGCCAGTCTTTAGCCAGAGCAGTGAGTCTCTAACAGTAGGATTTGAGGCTTCCAGAGCACAATGAGGCCATGGGTCAGTTAATGGCATATCTCAGGAATCCTTTCAGTGTTTCATTTTTGTCCAGGACCTTCTGGATTTCCTGCCCTCTGACTTCTTCCTGTAGGGAATCCTGGCCGATGCTCCTTTGCAGAATGTTTGGACTTACAGATATAAAACTTTCAGAGTGCATGCAGTCTTTACATTTCTGGCCTGGATTTACAGGTTTTGAAAAAAACAATCAAACTACAAACTGAAATAATTATTAATACATCAGAGCCTCTAAACCGCCCAGAACTTGCTACCTAAATATACAATGATCAGAAATACTGTTTCTTCCTGATTTTCTCCCTTGCTTTTCTAAGCACAGTCTGTTCCCAGCTGAGATGAATGGATGATGGTTGGGAGGGTTGGGGGCAATGGCAATCCATAATCTTCCTCTCAGAAAGTGCATGGGTGTATGAATATGTATATGTGTGTAAGTGTGTGTGTGTGTGTGTCTGAAGGTACCTGAAGTCGGAAGGCCAGTCACTCCCAGATGGCCCCAGGGACTAGACTATGGTCTGGTCCCAGAGCCTGAGACAGTGAACAGTCCTCAGCCCCTCCTGGGGAAGGGAGGGTGTGCGATTTAAAGGGGAAGTGAGAGTAGAAGTGACTGTATGGGGTCTTGCCCGTCTCTGTCTCGGAGCTTTGGCACCTTGAAGAATCCTTTGCTTACGCATCCTGTGTCCTACCCAACTGGAGACAAACTAAAACCTAAGCTGCCCAGCTCCACCCTTGTCCTCGGTCTGAACTGTGATGTGCTTGGAAGAGGTAGAGGAAAAGGGGGGGGTACCTAGTTTCAGGAATGAGTACTCTATTGGTCTGGGTGTGGGTGTGGGAGGGATGGGAGTGCACTTCAACAGGAACTTACTAAATGTCAAAAGAGTCCTAGCTGTTTGTTGGTTAAGGTGAAATCTGCTCAGTTGCATGGGGTGATGCGGTGGGGGAATTAGGGCTCAATATTCTTTTCCAGCCAGGGGCAGCTACTCTGTGGTGGGAATCTGGGGTGCTTTCTGGGAGAGGAGAAGCCTTGGGCTTCCCCTCAGCCACCTTAGAGCCTGTGACCTCTTGCTTCATCCACTTCCACCCAGACTGGAGCTGGAGGCTGTCCCTCCCCTCCACAACTAGCCTTTGCTTGGACTCCCACTGAAGAATCACTCATCACAACGGGAGCCCCTACCCGCACAGCCTTCCACAGGCTCCGCACTCTGAAACACACACACTCTTTTGCTTTCCTGCCCCCTCACCTATGGCTGAAAAAATAATTCCACTGTTAAGGACTATTCCTTGCCGCTGCCTCCCACTTCCACTTGTGAACCACCCTCACACTCTCTCTTCAGCTCTGCTCCCTGGGTGTCTCCAGAAGGCCATGAGGGGAAGAAATTACTCCCTTTGCTTTTCATGTGAAGAACCAGTAGCTCTGAAAATAGTGTGTCCCTTGCTCAAGGTCACAGAGCTAATGGGAGAGGCAGATCCTTGGCTGCCTGGGCTCTGGGGCCACGCCTGCCTCCCTCACAGCCCCATGCACACTCGGAATTCCACAGGCTGCTGTCAGCACAGTGCCGCCCCCCAGACCCACTCCTCCAGGTCCTTACTGTCCTCCCTGGGCTCCCATTTGGCTCCCAGCCAGATGGGTCACATGGAGAGACAGGGACTGCAGGCTTTTGTGTGCTTCTTTATTTTGTCCCTTAATCAGAGTTTGGTTGCCATCGTCAGGAACAGAGAAAAGTCCCAGAACTGGACTTCATCTAACAGGCCTCCTTTCTCTTCATGAGAACTTTTTTGGGTTTGGAGGAATGGAACATTGATGTTTTATTTTACAGCACACATTTTACCTTACTTTATTTCATCTTAAAAATTAAAAAAAATTCGTTTATTTTCTTGTCTGTGTGTGTGCACACCGTGGTGGATGTGTGGAAGTCAGATGACAACTTGTGGGGTGTGCCCTTGGTGATAGGCTTGGTGGCAAGCATCTTTACCCACTGAACCATCTGGCTGGCTCCTCTGCCTCACTTTATGCTACCGTATCTTGAGGTGGCCGTTTTCTGTTTGGATTCAGATTTCTCTAGATAGTGAAGACTGTTTTACTTTGCAAAGCAGAAATTGCATGCCGCTGTCTTCCATAACCTGAAGAAAGTGTCATCATTTCAGAAGTACAGACCCCAGACCGGCCACTGTCACCCCCAGGCTTCTCTTGCTTCTTGGGATGTTTATTAATAAAAGGAACATTTGCAAGGCTTCTGTCCTTTTGCCGAGTGTTTTCCTTGACTGTGCTGTGCGGACTCCTTCCCTCCCGAAAATCTTCCGTGGTGTTCTTCTTTAATATTTTCTTCATTTTATAGATGAGAAATTTGGCTAATTCACTTCTCCCGAATTTCACATCTCTTTAAGGGGGGTGGGAACCAGTATCAACAGGAAAGAAGTAATCACAGCTGCCAAGTCTCGCATGTTTACAATGCAGAAACTCGGTGCAAAGACACGGTGGACAACATTGCTGGAATGTCTATTCAGCCTCTGGGGGAATTGTTTTTACCTGAGGGTTCTTTTTTTTTTTTTTGGCCTGGCCCTGTTTCCTTAGAACTGTTGGTTTCTGAGGCCCCATGAAGCCACGTTTAGGAATTGCTGTCCTCAAATAAAGTTGTCCGTGGTAGAGTTTTGGCAGCCCCATGGCTGTCTTGCATTTGGTACCTGCTGTACATAGCCGGTGTTCCATCACTTGTCTGTGCTCCTGGGTTGCTCTTGTACCTTGTGTCTTCCCTGACTTCTAACTTGCCCCTTATGCTGAAGTACTGTGTCGGGGGAGGTCCTATTCTTCTGAGGAGGAACTGAGATTAGAATCCTCTTGTTCAAGCCAGGTCTGAATGGGAACACACTTCTCCTGTACAACAGACATTGGTGTTCCCGTGTAAGAGATGGAGGAGGGCTCTGTGCTAACTAGCAGGCAAAAGACAGAAGTTTGGCAGGACGTCTTCAAGACCATGTTATAGTGACTTGCAACTCCCGTCCTGTGATCGTTTTGGGATTTCTTTCACTGTATTTTAGCTACTTTCTTCATGGAAGAGCCAGTTTAGAATTTCTCCAGGATGCTGGGGCTGTAGCTGTGCTGGTAAAGTGCTTGCCTAGCATTCATGAAGGCCTGGGTTTGATCCCTAGCACTGCACAGAGTGGGTGTGGTGGTGCACACCTGTAATTCCAGCACTTAGGAGATGGAGGTAGGGGAATTAGAAGTTCAGGTTCATCCTGGGCTACATAGTGCGTTTGAGACCCGCCTGGGCTACATGAGATTTTGTCTTAAATAAAAAGAAGGAAAGAAAAGAGAAAAGAAAGAATTCAGCTGAGTTCTGTCTTTTTACTTTTCACAGCTATTCTTATATCATCGGCTGAAAAATGGGGAAAGTTGGATGAGGACCTTTGTTTCGGACAGTCTCCAGAGACTACAAGTTGATCTCCTTATCTGCAGATTCTGTAGCATGGACTGAAAATATTTTAAAAATATGATGCCTCTACTGGACAGGTACAGGTTATTCTCTCCCGTCACCCCCCCTCCCCAACAGTATAATTACCATTTACACAGTGTCTGCATTGTTTCAGGTGTCATAAGTAAAGTGTGTTAGTTCTATGCAAATACCACAGGGTTTGATATGAGACTTGAGACAGGATTTTGGTATCTGTGGAGGGTCCTTGAAACATTCCCCTGTGGGTACTGAAGGACTACGGTGTGCAGAATGGGGACAGAGAGTTCAAGAGGGCAAGGTCAGTTAGCTCAATAATAGCATATTGTATGGACTGGCCCTGAGCTCAGATCACTCTGAGGAAGCCAGGGAAGCTGGGGGCAGGATGGTGACTTAACATGCACCTTCAGCAAACTCAGGGAGGCTTTTGAGCAAGGGCAGAGCATTTGGTCCCTTCTGAAGCCTGGCTCTGTGTTGTGACGGCTCACTTTAACCCACTCAAGATGAAGAACATTCTGAATTCATCCTGTAAGCAGTGGCTGCCCCTTTCTTAGTGAAAACTCTTGTCAGTGTGGCCCTTTGTAAAGAAACACCACATTATGGCCCCACTAGAAAAAGAGAGTGACACATTCATGCCACATGACTTGTCCCTCTGGGTGCCTTCGTTGCTGACACTTGCTCACAGCACTGTACTGAATTTGTGACTGCGGAAGTTTCCATGGATATTCTAAAGTGCGTTGTGTATTGGAAACTGTGAATAAAAAGGTGAGGGAGAAAGGCCAGCCACCAAACTCACCCAAACCCTAAACCTCAGACTCTTGGAAGGAGTCAGCTTATAGTACAGCCTCAGACTGCAAACACATCCGGATGGCGAAGGAAAAGTTTGCAGAGAACCTGGGGTTTCTGCAGGCTATGCAGCCTTCCTTGCCCCCATTGACACTGAGTCCTGGAGGGCCTTCTAAGGTTCTGGGAGTGAGGTCCTTTGTTCCTGCTGCCCCCACCTTGTTCCTTCCTAAGAGGCTGACGCTGTGGTTAACCCTAGGGATTCACACAGCCTACCTTCTGGTAGTTGGTAGCCTTCATGTCTTCTGCCAGCCCTTATCTGGGGGAGGAGAGTCGTCCCTTCATCTCCCTGCAGTTTCTGAAAGAAGGTATTGTTATTTTGTCAAAAACGCCCAGGCTAGGAACAAAGGCAGGTCCTGGATCTTCTTCAGGCCCGAGTAGAACTGAATTGGCATTCCTTTAAAATGGCTCTTCATTACAGCCCATTTCTGCTAGCAATTACTGGGCAGCAGAGAAAGGGCAGCTGAGTCCTTGAGGGTGTTGTTGGGCTTTCCTTTTCTTCTTCTCTTTTTGCGGGGCCTTAAAGAAATTGGTGCACGGTCGGAGTTCAGGTGTAGACAGGTCTAGTATTTTTACACCTATGACATATACATAAATCTTACTAGACAGTCTTCATTTCACACAGGCGTGCACATTTGTGTGATGGGTGTGCTTGCTCGGAGCAGAGAAAATAGGAAGATTTTCTTTCCTTTTATAATCCTATCATCTGTTCTTAGAGCAGCATGTTAGAACAACGAAAGAGTGAATTGCTGAATTTTGAAAACACTTATACATGGAGAACTTTAGGGGAGCATTTGTTTCACAAATGAATTTAGTATTTTTTAGAAACTATTATCTGATTTGGGAAAATGTCTAGCAAGCAATCAGAACCCCACAAATATTTGTGGGAACCAGTTCCACCTGCTTTACTTTTCCTCCTGGTAGGCGAAAAGCCCTGGACACCCCTGGTGGCTTCCCCACGTGCTGGGATTGTTTAAATGGGAGCGCAGTAGATTATTCCTCAGGGAGATGGAAGATTTGAAGGCTGTCATGCAATAAAGCCCAAACAGATGTCAGAAGATCTGGTGAAACCCAGAAGCCCATTTTTGTCAAAACAATAAATTTCTAAATCTGTTTCAGATCATAATATTACATTTTGGGGAGGGGGGGGTCTAGGATGTAGCTCAAGTGGTAGAATACTTGCCTCATATGCATGAAACCCTGGATTTAGACCTCAGCACTGCATAAACTGGATAGGGTACTGCATGCCTGTAATCCTCAGGAGGCAGAGGCAGGAGAATCAGGGGTGCAAGGTCATTTTTTGCTACAGAGTGGGTTTCAGGCTAGCCTGGGCTACGTGAAATGCTATGTCAAAATAATTTTTGTTTCTTTGTTAATTGTTAGTTAAGACTTGGTTTTACACTGTAGCCCAGGCTAGCCTGGAACTCACTATGTAGCTCAGGCTGACCTTAATCTTGTGGCAATGCCCTTGCCTCAGCCCCCTAGTGTTAGGATTATAGATATAAGCCATGACTAGATCTGAATGATAATTCTAAATCAGAGATTTCCTAGGCCCCAAACATGATTTCTGTGTCCCAGTGTGGCCGTCTGTAAAATACTTTGCTTCTTTCTCAACATCTGGGTCTCCTCATACAGAAAGTAGAAAATGGTCTTGTCTGAATTTCTTCAGGTATTTAAGCCGTACTGGCTCAGGCCTACAGGAGATTTTGACCTGTAAGAGAAGACCTAGGTTTAAAAAGCTAGTCCAAACCACATACCTATCATTATCAGAATAGATATTCCATTAGATAACATGTTTGATAGAGAAGCTGGGGTGGGATGGTGGGTCTTCTGAATGTCCTTTCTTTAACAAAGGTAAAGCTGAAGGAGGCACTGTCAGGAGGGGTCAAGTTCATGCCCTGTTCTTCCTGATGTATGCCTCCCACCAAACACAAAATCTCTTTTTTGGTGATGTTGAATTTGGTTGCAGTTGGGTAGGTATTTTGTTTGTTTCAACCCAAATCAAATGTCACCCCCCCCAAACCCCCCTTTGTTCCTACTGTCCTGGTTTTCAGACTGGGGCCCACACATTGATTTGAATTTTCAACACTTAGCACCTGAGTTAGATCACTGACTCAAAGAACAGGAAAGGTCAGTCTGCCTCACACCTCACCCAGCGTCCTGGGATTAGCATCCAAAACAAACAGATCAGAGATGGGATGTAGACTCCCCAGAGAAGTTCCCACGTGTGAGAAAGCCCAGGACATGGCATTTCTCAAGCTCACTGACGTCACTCAAGTTGAGGATCCAAGACTTCATCTTCCCTAGGTCGCTGGTGGTTAAATCCTTCCAGAAGTTCTGAAGAGCCTAGCTGGTGTATTAAGAAAACTGTGTGTGTGTGTGTTGGGGGGGGGGTGGTCAGGGAAAGGGAAAGAAATTCTTTCTGTGAATCAAAGGAGAAACCAAATAAAGTCCAAGAAAAATATAACTCTATTGTTTTGGGGGCATGAGATGCTGGTGGCTCAGAGGCTTTGTTGAGCAATCCAAGTTACGCCCTTTCTCTGTGGGACTAAAGAAAGGATTGTTGGCTGTGTCTTTGGAGGACAGGTGGGAGGTAGGCAGACAGGTCTATGGCGATGAGAATTTCTGGAAGCTGTAACTCTGAACGTCCTCACAGCCTTGTGGTTGGGAGGCTGGGGCACAAAGAAGGACAAATGGGGACCAGGACCAAAGAGCACTGGCCGTGGTCAGGGATGGGGGAGGCAAGAGTGTTGGAAGAAAACCAAGGAGTAGAGAAAGTCCCAGTACTATGTGTATTGCTCTTTCCTTAACAGGGGCTTCTGTGTCCTCAGGAATCCCCATGGCTCTTTCCCATGGAGCCTTGGGGTAGATACCCAGGGAGAGGTGGCATGTCTGAGTTTGGGGTGTGATAGGAAGCAGGAAGTACCTGTCATTTCACAAGATGGTTTGACACTGGTAAGAGAGCCAGTGAAAACTGGCAGACCCCCAAGTTGGGGTGGGAAAGTCTGGCCCAGCGTGAAGGACACTTGGCTTACCATCACTGGGCTGTGGGTTAGTTGAAAAACAGGGCAGTATGCACAGTTGCGGTGCCAGGCCACCTCAAACCTCACTTTCTTTTCCCATCTTTGATTGTTTTTGTACAATGACATGCCCACTGCTGCTGGTGAATGTCCGTAGCCCAGGGAAGGAATTATGTAACCAGATGAAGTTTTGGCAGGGGTGTCTGTCCACCAAGTAAGCCCTTCCTTGTAATTCTTACAATCTAGGTCAACTTTCTTCTCTCACATCCCCTTCCCCTCTATCTTTCTCCTCTTTTGATTTTATCAACATATTATTTGTGTGGGTTGAGTTCTGGATGTGCTTGTAAGTCTCATTTGGGGCAGTTGTCCTGATGGGTCTGCTGGTTCATACCAACAGGGAATCTTTGTCCCTTTTCTGGGACTCTGTCTCAAACTCCAGCTCGTGGTGTTCTTCTCTTATTAACACTGAAGTCTTAGTATGTTCTCCATCCCCACATTGGATGTGAAATGTATCATACGTGTCCATTAGCTTGAGTTTCTTAGACTTCATCCCTATAAGGAAGACAGTATCAGTGGCGTGTTTCTGGTTTCTTGGGAAACACTTGCTTTACAGTTCAATCAGGCTTCATGCCCAGGACTCTGGATTTGCTGAGTGACAATGATTCCTGATCCCAGACACAAGAGCATGCTGGATTCAGAACTCCTGGGTTCTCTCTCGCTATGGATCTACTTGGTCTGAGACATCAGGAAACAAAACTGGATCTCTGGGCTTTAGTTCTATGTCTTACTCAGAGAAACCTTGTTAAAAGTTAGTGTCCAGAGACTAGGCTGATCGCTCGGCCAATAAAGTGCTTGCTCTGTGAGCATGAGGACCTGGGGTTGATCCCAGGCATCCTCATGAAAATCCAGGTGCAGTAGTATGCTCCTCTTATCAGTGCTGGGGAGAAGTCTAAGTGAATCGTGGCCTCCAGGTGCAGTGAGAAACTCTGTCTCAGAAAGTAAGGGGGATTGATTGAAGAGAGACCTGTGGCCAATATTGACCTGTGGCCTCCACACGAATGTACACACCGGTGCACCCATAGATACTTGTAAAAACATGCATTTTACACACACACACACACACACACACACACACATACACACACGTATATGTATATACCACAAATCCACCCACCCCAAAGTTAATGACCACTCCTTTT